TCTTTAATTCTCGTACACAATTGTCTACCAGTTTGTCCGACGTAGCATGCCTCGCAGCATTCGCATTCTATATGATATACAACATTTTTATTCTGTTCTATTGGGACCGGATCTTTGTGTGTTTTAATATATTTGTTTAAGCGAGATATGCATCTATATTGGTGCGAGATGCGGCGCGCGTCGTCCACGCGGTATAAGAAGATGTTCGTCGAACGATCGATCGCTCTAGATGCTTTTGTTCGAGTAGCAACGGGGTTGTTTACGGCAAGGTTCAAGCGAGAAGTTGGAAGCCGGACTTAGAATTGACAAGAGGCTGGACTAACGGCTCGGGATTTCCTCGCGTTTTTACCGCGGCCTTTGTAACGCGTTTGTTAATAAAGTTCTTGTGAGATATACGCGGTGTTACTTTCTTTTCGCGAAGCGCAGCAACGCGGCCGGGACGCGACAAAACGCGGTCGTGAGCGCAAAATTTGGGGGCTCGTCCGGGATTGAGCTTGAGAGACCGGCGGCATGGCTTTAGTGCACTCGCCGCGGAGAACGCGCAATCAAGTCGCGGCAGGAGCGGCGGAGGCGCCGGCGGCGGCGGCAGCAACGTCTGAGAACAAAACGCTGCGCGCGGTTCTGGAGCAACTGCGAGAGAAGCGTCGTTTAGAAAGGGATTCATTCCATTGGAAGGAACAGGAATTCAGCGATTTCGTGCGCCGGAAGGAGGAGGACGTTTGTCGCCTGGAGGAGCGGCTTCGACGCGATGTATCAGGCGAGTAATTTTCAAATAGTTCTCCTGTACGGGCGGGGGAATTAACAGGAGTTAAAATTAAGCCGGACGTATACGACGGGAGTGTTCCGTGGCGCGAGTTTTTCACGCAGTTTGAGTTGGTCGCGCGTGCAAACGGGTGGAGCGACGCGGCGAAAGCAACGGTTTTGGCCACTAATTTGAGGTGGAAGGCACGTTCGGTTTTAGAGGGACTGGAGGAGAGGTTTAGTTACAAAGAGATCCGATCGAAATTGGAATCGCGATACGGAGAGCGGAAGTTTTTTCAGAGTTGCTACGCGCAATTTACTAACCGTAGACAGCGGGGTGGCGAGAATCTTGCGGCGCTCGGCGCGAATCTGGAGCGTTTGTTACGTCTCGCGTACCCGGAGTGTTCGCACAAAGTTCGCGAAAAAGTCGCTTGCGCGCAATTCATTGCCGCTCTCTCGGATGGCTTCGTGAAGCGTACGTTGCAATTAAAAAATGTGACTTCGTTGAGAACTGCTGTTGAACGGGCGAAGGCAGTGAAAGCTATTCAAGAGTCCCGTGTAGACTAATGGGGGGTGTATTTATTTTATTTTATGTTTTTATGTTTTAGATGTTGTGGGTATTTGTTTTTTTAAGCATAGTTACTCGTTTAGTTTTCTTTCTTTCAGGTATAACTCCGTTGCTACCCCGAGTCTTTCCATTTCGTCGTTGGACGTCGGGGGACATCAGCGTCGCGTCAAGTCGTTGCGAAGTCTACGTCTTTGGAATCATGCTTCAAGTCCGTCTTACTCACGGTTTTGAACGTGGTTTTCCGTGGGTCTTTGGGTAAATACCGAGGCGGGGACTTGGGGTGTTTTTTTGAACGATGGGTCCACGTGAGTTTTTCCCCCTTTGTCCAAAGTCGGAAGAATTTTGTGGACACAGGAATTGCCCCGAAGGGGATTCTCGGGAAGAGTTTCTCCGGTCAACTGGCTCATTTATTCTGGGACAGCAGTCTGGAAGAGAGCGAGAAGGTTGACTTCTTTTTGATCATCAGGACGATGATCTAGAAGAGAGAGGGGGCAGTGTTGCGAGATGCGGCGCGTGTCGTCAACGCGGTATAAGAAGATGTTCGTCGAACGATCAATCGCTCTAGATGCTTTTGCTCGGGTAGCAACGGGGTTGTTTACGGCAAAGTTCAAGCAAGAAGTTGGAAGCCAGACTCGGAATCGACAAGAGGCTGGACTAACGGCTCGGGATTTCCTCGCGTTTTTACCGCGGCCTTTGTAACGCGTTTGTTAATAAAGTTCTTGTGAGATATACGCGGTGTTACTTTCTTTTCGCGAAGCGCAGCAACGCGGCCGGGACGCGACAAAACGCGGTCGTGAGCGCAACAATATGCTAATCTGATGTTCATTTTATTAAGGTTATAAGAAAGAGAATTATATTGTTCGCCAGCAAACGGTATTACAAAATGGTTAACATCATTAGTAGTTTGTGTATCGTTGTCAATGTCAATGTTAACATTGTTTAATTTCGTGTTAATCAGTGTTTTGAGTCGTTTGTTAATAATTTTGAATATATCTATTGGGTAAAAGTTTTCTGTTGGGAATAATTATTATTTTAAGGTTTGTTCAGATTGTGTAATGTACAAAGTGCAGAAGAGTGCGAGTGTGCAAAAGAACTGTACTTTGTGCAATAAAATAGAAAGCGCAATTGATGATGTTCATTTGTATCGTTTGTCGTCTTTTTTGCGTATCTAGATGTTTCTTCGCTTTCCGTTTTGTACCGCTGTAATGAAAGGTTCTCTTTGATTTTTCTCTCTTAAAATAAACTGTTTTATTTAAAAAGGTCGTGTGTGTATCTCTGACTAAAGTAAAATAACAACATTTTCAATAAGGATTTTGATGCACACTGTTAAGTTTTTTTGGTGAAAGGATGGATCTGACAGTAACAACGCTCTATCTACCAGAGTAATTATTGTACCAATTTTATGACACAGGGGGTTATTAGATAAAAACTGTAAATACCTGCCAGAAAACGTTGGCTTGTGTGTGTATGTGTTTGTGTGTGAGTGAGTGAGTGAGTGTGTGTGTGAGTGTGTGAGTGAGTGAGTGAGTGAGTGAGTGTGTGTGTGTGTGTGAGTGTGTGTGTGTCTCTCTGTGTGTGTGTGTGTGTGTTTGTGTGTGATACCAGTCACGAAGCAACATATTTCCTTTAATGATGATAAGTGTGTCTAAAAAACTGATACAATTGTCAGTTTGAAGTTTGTGTGTGAACTGTAATCTGTGATGGATGGAATTGAATGTGTTGAGAACGTCAGTGATTTTGTCTTTATGTACTGATAGTAAAATATCGTTGACATATCTATAATATATTGGAATATTGCATTTTAATGTGTTTAGTGCTTTTAGTTCGAGATCTTGCATCGTAATTTCTGCTATTATAGGTGAGAGAGGGGATCCCATTGGAAGTCCGAAAGTCTGTTTGTAAATTTTGTTATTGAAAATAAAATATGTCGACGACATGACGAACTCAAGTGCTATTAAAAATTCTTGCAGTGAAATTTTAGTATTTAACCTTATGTATTTTCATCTTTTAGATACGCTCTCTAATGTTATTTTAATGAGTATATTGGTAAACAATGATATTACGTCACAGGAACAAAGTATAAAATTATCATTAATTTTTTGTCCTGATAGTTTGTTATATAAATGAAAGCTATCTTTGATGTAGAACAGAGAATTGAGTATGTTGTTGTATATAATTTTATGTCAAAACAAGGAAAAATGATGTAAAGAACTGTCAATGGTGGATATTATAATTCTATATGGATGATTTACTTTATGGATTTTAGGAATACCATATGCTCTTGGTAGTCTCGGATCACTATTATACATGTATTTCTTTTGTAAATTAGTGATATGACCTTTAATATTCTATCTATCTAGTAATTGTTTTAGTTGATTGTTGATGTTTGTCAGTGGATTTTTATTTATGTGTATGTATGTATTTTCATCTTTTAGTATATTGTTAATTTTATCAATATAATCATTTTTAAGTAAGGCAACAGTGGTGTTTCCTTTGTCCGCTCTCATAAAAATAATATTAGGATTATTGTTGATGAAATTTCAGACTGATTTGGCTTTGTGGAGTATATTATTGTCTATGTATGTAGTGATTTGTGATCGTTTATGAATTCATTAAAGTAGGATGTAATGTGATTGTGGATATGTGTTTTAGTGGTGCGGTCATATTTCATTATATTATGTTCTACATCTTTGATAGTTTCAATTATAATGTTTTTTTTATTGTGTTTGACTGGGAGAGCGAATCTATCACCTAATTGTAATATTTCTGTAATATTTGATGGAATTGTTGTGTCAGTAAGATTTATGAACCATTTATCGTTTAATTTTAATTCTGTATTAAGTTCGTGTTGAAATTCTTCAGGTTTTATGTTAATTTTGATAATGTTACTCGCTTGTTCATTTTGATTGAAATTATATTCCCATGTTGCGTTATCTTGCAAAGTTTTTGTGTTACGTTGGACAAAATATTGGATAGGTTGTATATTGTGAAAACGGTTATTATTTGAGAGTAATTTTTTTGTTGAGGATAATTTTTTTTTATAAAAAATTTGTTCATCAACACTTGTTGGGTGTATATGAATTGTGTGATGATATTTTTAGGGAACATTTTGGACATTTCTAATGTTAAACTGTACAGTGCTTTTTTATGTTGTTTTAATATTCTATATTTATCGTGAGTTCTAACTTTATTATCCTTTTTTGTAAATTATTCATGATATGTGTCATTTTATTGACATTTTTAAAATAGGAAAATGTTGGAAATTTAATGTTTGATATATGTTTGGATATATATTAAATTTAAACGGATACAAGTTCGAAGAAAATAAATGTGTAACTGGGGTTTTTGATAACGCAGTATTTAAAAGTAATCCATTTCTTCATAAGAATTTTAGATGACTTGCCAAAATATGTCTCGATCGAAGGATGTCTTGTGTAGAAGTGTTAATATTATCTATTTTCGTCACGTATTTTAGCCAGCGTATAAATTAACAATGTCAAAGGGTGAGGGTTGTCCTCTGGTTCAAGTAGATAAAATCGTATGTGTGTATTAATTGGGCTGTTGTGAACCGTTGTTCTAGGATGTTGTGCAGTAAAAAACAATAATGGAGATAAAGTCAAACGTTTCGACTATTTATTTAGTCATATTCAGTAATAAAACTGTAATACAATTATTTTACATAGTTGTTGATTACTTTTGATAACACGTTATTACGCACAAATACATATGATAAAAAATTTCTTCATTTAAATTTCCATATAAAAAGGTTGTTTTAATATCAAACTTCATTATAAAGTCTTTTCTTCTGGTTGCTTTCTGGCTGACTTCTTTTCTTCTTTAATAGCTTTCATCCATTTTTCCTTGTCTGTCCCTGTTGTAGCTTCCTCGTAAGTTAAAAAAACGTAATCTTTGTATTTACATGAAATTCTTTTAATGCGTTTTCCTCTTCTATTTTCTTCTTCATGATTTTCTTGTCCATTTTCTTCTACATGATCTTTTTGATAATTTTCTTATCCCTTTTCTTCTACAAAATCTTTCTATATTTTTTTCTTTTTACTATGTGATCCTTCCAGTGCATCTTGAAACTGATTTGTGTCCTCGTCGCTTTCAGATACATTCTCGATATTGATTCTGATTTCTTCTTGCTCTATTGCTTCTTGTTCTTTATTTGATTCTTCTTCAGTAGTTGTCTTTATACTTACTTTTGCATTATTTAATTTTAATTCTTCTGTAAATATAACATCTCTTGATATTATTAGTTTTCGTTTTTCTCGATCAAATAACCGATATCTATTAGGTGCATAACCAAGAAAAGTTAATTTTTTGCATCTATCGTCCAATTTTTTAAGTGGTGTTAAGACTTTGGTGTAAGCCGTACAGCCAAATATATGTAATCTCGATAAATCAGGTCTTTGTGAAGTCCAATTTTCATATGGAGTTCTTTGGACTGCATTCGAAGGACTCCTATTTGACAAATAGTAGCACAGCTTTTCCCCAAAAAATTTTATCCACATCAGCATTCACATAAGAAGAGCTCTTGTCTTTTCTATAAGAGTCCTATTCAATCGTTCAGCCTTGCTATTAAGTTGAGGTGTGTAGGATGTAGTTGTATCAAGTAAAGTATCTCTTTGTTTGCACCATGATTCGATATTATTATTAACATATTCCCGTCCGTTGTTACATCTTAGTTTAGTGATTCTTAAATTCCATTCTTTGTTTCTACAAAATTAGCATCTTCTTTGACTTTCAATGGAATTTCATATTTTCCTTCTAGTAAATAGATCATAACAAAGTGTGTGTAATCATCAATAAATGTTAATATATATTTTTTTTGTTATCCCACGTCAAAAGATCCACTGGTCCACATACATCAGTATGTACTATTTCAAGCGGTCTTTTGGCTCTCAATCTTCTTTCATTACAGGGTAGTCTTGTTTGTTTTGCTCTAACGCATATTTCACATACATTTTCCAAACATTTAAGATCTTCTTCTGATAATGTCATTCCTTCTGACATAGTTTGTAATCTCTTCATGTTTTCTCTTCCAAAATGACCAAGTTTTTGATGCCACTCTACTGCTGTTTTTATTTCCTGAGTTTAAAGAGCATTACTCACATAGTCTTGATCAAAATTAATTGTCCATAGTCCATCTTTATTCCGATATCCTGTAAGTTTAGTATTATCTTTCCGGATTTCAGGTTTGTCTTTAGTAAAAATAATTTTGCCTCTATTTTGAGTTATGGCATTAACCAATAGCAAGTTTTTAGTTAATTCTTCAACATAAAGAACTTTGTTAAGTACAACTTTTTGTTTGTTTCAATAATTCCAATTCCACCGGCTTCTAAAATCTGACTTTTCTTAGCCGTTCCTATTTCTGATTTTATATTTTGTAATTTTTTAAACAAATTTTTGTTATTCGACATGTGTGAGGACGAGCCGGAAGAATCCAATCATTAGTTTTACTAGTATTTGCCAGAAAAGAAACTTTGTCTTTGTTTGCTACTTGATCTTGAGTTGACTTGTTTTTACGAAAATAACAATCCTTATCCGAATGATTATTTTTCTTGCAAATATTACATTTTACTGTGTCACCTGTATTGTTCTCTTTTTTACAATTTTTTGCTATATGTCCGCGTCCATTACAGTTGAAACAGCGTAAATCTTGATTGTTTCCCTTCATTTTACATGCTTTCGCAAAGTGTCCTGGGTTGTTACACTTATAGCATTTTCTCTTACTCGTTTTAAATGCTACTGCTTTCTGTTTGATATCTGCAGCTGTTAGCCTAATTTCTTTTGATAATAATCTAGATGTAAGGTTAGAAAGCGTGTTTTGTTCTTGACCTGTGGAATCTTATGCACAAATGAAGTGTTTAAATTTTTCAGGCAATGTTGCAAGAATCTTAGATATTAGCATAGTATTATCAATATCAACGTTCAGTATTTTTAATCTGTATGCTAGTGCTTCTAGCTTACTTACATGCGAGCCGACGTCTGCACCCTTCTGATAAGTAAAATTGTAGAATTCTTGTAGTACACAGTTTTGTTGCTGCGCATCTCTTTCGTACATAGCGCAAATGCGCTTAAACATTTCGCAAGAGTAGTGAAAAATAAATCAAACGCTCGTATTGTGAAAACAAAAATTAAATTAGAAGGTCAAATTCGAGCACATTGCAAAAGATGTTTTAATTAATTCATTAACATTGCAATATAAAACGCTACTACAAAAGATTAATTTCTGAGATGATCCATATTAAATTACAATTGAATGGCTTAAACTCAGTTAATGATTTAGATTTACTTGACTCTTCGTATTTCAATTTGCTTTCCACGTAAGCTCTTTGGAAAGCATTGCTATGGTGGGGACAACATTATATAATTCTCGTTTTCATCTTGTTTATCAGCATTTAACCGCGAGTTACTAAGTAAGTTGTTTGTGGGCTTTACTCTTGTGATATTGACTATGAGTATCCTGTCTGTTCTTTATTATAGACTACCATCCATAAGGTAAACCAATCTATTTATATTTTCACTGAAGATGACCGGCTGATTGACTTTGTACGTTTAGATCATTGTTTCTGACTTTTTTGTTTTTCACGTCTGAAGAAGACCCAAGTAAGGGTGAAAATATTACAAAATGAAATGTTATTTAAGCGTTTTGAGTTATTTTTAAAGCGTTTTATATTGTAATGTTAATGGATTAATTAAAACATCCTTTGCAATGTGCTCGAACTTGATCTTCTAATTTAATTTTTGAGTTTGCAAGAGGTTTTACATATTAATATATGCATTAAAACTTGTCTCTCAATCGATGAAATTATTATCTTCTGAGCCCGTGCATCCTTCCTGATCCAGTTTGTTTTAGCTTGTTCCGTGATGTCCTCCATCAGTACAAATGATCCTGTCGCGATCTCGTACAATCCAAGCGACTTGAAGAGTATTGTTACTTGAAATTTTTATAAGGAAAAATTTTCTGCGTCTTTCAACTTTTCTATTTGTATTACTTCGTCCTGACCATTCGACGCTATTATTAGTTTTTAATTTTTTTTAATGTTTACACTTTTGAATCACAGCACTCTCAGATGAAATTTTTATTTTTATTTTTTTTCTCTTTTTACATCTCTGACTGTCCTGGGCCCATAACCTGTTGATTTTACTTAAGAGAATAATCAGAGATTTACAACACTTAAAGTACAGTTTTATTTTATATAATCAGATTAATACATAACTAATAAAAGATTAATAAAAGAGCAGACAAACTTACAACGAGAGAGAACTGCCGAACGCGAACAGGAGCAAGACAAAAACCGCACGCAAAGAACATCGAAACATCGAGAAGCAGTGCTTCTCAAATGTAACTTTTACAGCATGTGTGGTGCACGCACTTTGTGCACCTTCAGTACTCCGAACAATATATGTGAATAGAACTAGAACAGAACGCATTTAACAATTATTTCTAACAATAATGATAACAATTGGTTATTTTTTTTAAAAAACAAAACGTTTTGACCTTTATTTCGGGTCCTTTTTAGTTGATAACTAATATAATAAAACAGTTACAAGTATATGTATAAAAAAAAAGACTGGTTAATTTACAATATGTGTTATGATTTTTACTTACATAAAGATAATATAAAATTGTGTTAATAAATAAAATTGGACATTGGAAACCAAATTTTCTTGTGTGACATTGTTTGTCTTAGTTTGAAATGACACTGTTGTCAGAGTGTAACTTGTACTTTCAATGTAGTTAGATATCCTCTATGTTTTATTGTGTGATTTCTTTTTGATTTTATCGATAATAGGTAAGTAATGATGTGTAAATGTGCAAGCATTTAGGAAAGCTCTACATTCTTATAACATTGCTTAACGTACCACCAGTAAGTAAACAATTAATTACTAAATAGACACAAGCATAGCTGAAGTGTTGTGTATACTTAAAGTTTTTGTAAGAAATATTTTTGAGATTCAAACAATAATTGTAAGGATATAACTTACAATATGCTAGAAGTACCTAGTAGCCACAAATGGTACATTGAAAATATAACTGCACCATTTTTGGCCACGAAGTAGCCACAAATAACACACGATATAGCCATTTTTTTTGGCCAGTAAGTATTCTTTGGAATCTGATCGTATAGTAACTGTTGTAAAATTGTTATTTCAAAGTTTATATTAGGTTTTGCTTGTAATATTTACCACAAATATATTTAATTTGATATTTGATGTTTTCGCGGTGTGTAGTATTAACATACAAAGATGTTTTTTCGGGTTTGAACCGCGTTAGTGTCAGTTTTATACCGACGTTTTGTGAACATTACAGCTCACTTCATCAGGGTTTGAAGAGCAGCCTGATACTGAGATGCTCTTGGTCAGGTGTCCCTTTTTATAGCGCTAGATTGAAGTGGGAAGAGTGTGGTGGAGGAGGGGTAGAATGAGAAAGAGGGGAGGATGTGTTATGGGAAGATGGAATGCCATAGTGAACTATTCATACAGGGTGTTTCAGAACTATGGGATCAAACTTCTAAGGGTTATTCAGTGCAACAGTAGAAAACATTTGAGTATAGGGACCCATGTCCGGAAAAGTGTCACTACCGCACTACGGCCCTAAGACGCGTTAAAATTTAGAAATACGATGAATTGCCTAAATAGGATTTAATGCATTTAATTTTTGCCTTTTGTACAGTGCGGTGCAATAATTCATGCGGGTAAAACAGATAGATAAAAAAAATAAATGCATTAAATCCTATTTAGGCAATTCATCGTCTTTCTAAATTTTAACGCGTCTTAGGGCCGTAGTGCGGTAGTGACACTTTTCCGGACATGGGTCCCTATACTCAAATGTTTTCTACTGTTGCACTNAATAACCCCTAGAAGTTTGATCCCATAGTTCTGAAACACCCTGTATATCCATTGTCTCTATTGAGATTGTTTGGATGTTTGTATATCTCCAAAGATTCCGTATATTTTCTAGGAAAGTAAACCCTAGTTTTGTTTAGTACTTGGGTTTGGTCAAACATAATTTTGTGACCAGTTTCCAAATGGTGTTCTGCTAATGCCGATTGTGAGTAATGTTTTAGACGTACTGCTGACTGATGTTTTTTTAGTCGTGTACTTATCATTCTACCAGTTTCACCTATGTATACTTTATCGATAGTTACACGCGGCATCACATCATCACCCAGTCCAAAAACAAGCTGTGATAAACTTGTTGATCTATAGAGCATTTACTATATGCGACAAAGACAGCATTCAAAACGAACTCAAAGAATTAAAAAACACTCTACAACAAAATGGCTACACACTGCAACAAATAAACAAAGTAATTAAAAAACATCAAAATAAACCCTCTACCACTACTCAAAATACACCAGCACCAGAACAAACAACAAACTTAAAGAAATAAACCACTTATCTCCTATACATAAAGGGTGTCACAGATAAGAATGGCAGAATCCTGAACAAACACAACATACAAACGGTCTACAAACCACCGAATAAAATAGGTGAAACTGGTAGAATGATAAGTACACGACTAAAAGAACATCAGTCAGCAGTACGTCTAAAACATTACTCACAATCGGCATTAGCAGAACACCATTTGGAAACTGGTCACAAAATTATGTTTGACCAAACCCAAGTACTAAACAAAACTAGGGTTTACTTTCCTAGAAAATATACGGAATCTTTGGAGATATACAAACATCCAAACAATCTCAATAGAGACAATGGACATATGACTAGTTCACTATGGCATTCCATCTTGCCATAACACATCCTCCCCTCTTTCTCATTCTACCCCTCCTCTACCACACTCCTCCCACTCCAATCTAGCGCTATAAAAAGGGACACCTGACCAAGAGCATCTCAGTATCAGGCTGCTCTTCAAACCCTGATGAAGTGAGCTGTAATGTTCACGAAACGTCGGTATAAAAATGACACTAACGCGGTTCAAACCCGAAAAAACATCTTTGTATGTTAAATATATTTTATTTTTTTAATTTATTTTAAACGTATAAATTATTTTACGGAATAATTCAAATTAAATTTCAATCCAAAAATTCATCTAGAATGCTTGGTTTGCATGTTAAATAAAATACTCGAATTACTCTCTCATGGAAATTAAAAAGCCTATTGCAAAAAAAGCACCTCGGTCAGGAGTCGTCTGGACCGCCTGCTTATAGCGGATGCCTTCCCAATTCGGCTATCGAGACACTAGGTCTATCTCTTGCCTTATTGGAAGAATAATTCGGTTATTTAATTTATATAAAATGCAAATTAAGCATCCTAGATAAATTTTCGAATTGAAATTCAATCCGAATTATTATGTGTAATAATTTACACGTTTAAAATAAATTTAAAACATTTAGAGTTTGCTTTAACATCTCGCGTCGGCTTGCATTGACTCAATATTTCTTCTTCGTTCGATTATTAACCAGAAGAGCCAAATTCACTCTTTTTGAAAATTGGAATTTTTTAAAATGGTTTATTGCTATTATTATTATTTTGTATCATAATTACTGCTTAAAAATAAACGTTTATAATTACTTAAAAGTCACTTAAACTTTTATTGTTACTTTCGTATAGACAATTCTTAATTATAAAATTGACTGGCCACAAATAGAACATTAAGTGACCGAAAATGGTGTAATGTGGCCACAAATGGTGTAAAACGGATTTTCACAATGATTTATTGATTTTTTTAAATGCAATTTTTAACATTATTTAATTTGTCACTATTTGATTTTCTATATATTTTAGATTATATATTGATACGTTTTGAATGTTTGTTTATGTAAGTTTTATTAACTTTATGTCATTAAATATTACAAAAATCCTTAAAGTGGTGCATTCACCTTATATTTATTTACTTAATTAATTTTTATTATTTTGAAATAAAATATTAAGAATAATTACGCAATATTAAGTATATATAATAACAAAATAACTAGTAGTTTGGTACTTAGGTGTGTTTATTGATGTTGTTTCGCAAAACTAGTATGTATGTATTGATTTATTGATTCTCCTAACTGTTACAATTTTTATAATTTCTTTGGGCGTGTTCGTATAAGGACAGCAGTTAGGGGAACAGCAGCGAGAGGTTGGCAGCCGGGACTGTAGATAGCTCAGGAGCGCTAGTAATGACTACGGTTTTTTATGTGACCAAAAAAAGATATATATTTTTTTTTCTATTTACATGGTATTTACAGCTAGGTTCTGATAAGAACCGTTTAATATTATACGGCCTAGTTGCTTCTTTGAGAGTCTGTGATGGCGATGGTTATGATTGTGATCCTTCTTGCTTCGACGTATTCTCGGAGGGCTCCCTGATCGTCGTGGTGACTGCCGTCGACTGCGGGATCTCCGATGCCGTCTCTCGGTCGACCTGTGATCTCTGCTGCGGATCTCACCGGTGACTTCAGTCTGGACGGCCTTTGTCCTCCGTGGTGGCGTTTTCCAGTCACTGCTATTGCTCTGTGTTTCCTGCTCTTTATATTGCGGCCGAGGAGCGGAGAACGAGACCTGGGTTTCTCTATGTACACGGAGTGGGAGTAATGTCTGTATAAAAGCGTGCGCTGTGGATCGTCTAGGAGATCTAACCGGTGAGATGCACTTAGGGAGATCCCAGGGTGGCGCTTTGTAGCGGTACCTTGGTGCGATATACTTCCGTACTCGATAATCGTATGGAGATAGCAGAATCCTTGGAGGTCGTGTACAGCGAGGTAATGCCAGATTTAGGGTTGAAGCTGCCACGGTAGAAGTACTTCTTCTACCTGTCGCGATGGTTCCGGACAAAGGGAGTCCTGGTGTAATGGTCCTGGACGAGGTGACTCCGGACTGGTCGACTCAGTACCGATCTCTCCGTATGGCCCGGGAACGATCGTCCGTACTCTGAGGGGTTGTCGAGAAGACGCCGGAATCCCGGTGGCTTGCCAAGGAAGCCGGGGAATGATGATCTGCATCTCTGACTGTGGAGACGGTGACCTGGCCTGAGGAATCGTAGAAGCTTTTTTGGGGTCAATTTTGGCCTCTTCTTTGTCTGCTGATACTGGTGATACTTTTGCTGCTAGTCTTCCTCTCCGTGGTTCAGAATTCTTCTGTGTCGAAATACGGCTGGGCGTCGTTAATATATTGACGACGCCGCACTTTGTACTACCGTGTTACGGCTCGCGGCCACGTAGCGGCGGTGCGCTGAGTTGCCTGCTGCCGGTCGGTAATGTGTGGCTGTGGTTGCCACAATTTCATTAGCAGATGAAGCAGCGATGTCTCTTGACAAAAATTATGACTTGGAAAAGAACAGGTTAGCAACAATAACTGAAAGTAACAGACAAAATACGAGTAT